AAGGACAGACAGAGACAGGTAAATAAACACAATGGTACTAATGGTTTGAAGTGTGTTTATTTCAAAGCAAGGATAATTATAGATAAGGGAGATGAGCTTCATGCCTGGATCAGTACATGGGACTATGATGTTGTGGCCATTACAGAGACTTGGTTGAGAGGACTGGCTGGTCAACTTTCCAGGGTTTCATTGTTTTAGACAAGATAGAGAGGAAGGTGAAAGAGGTGGAGGAGTTGCATTTCTAATCAGGGAGAATGTTACATCTGCACTCAGAGAGAACGTACTGGAGGGCTCATCCACTGAGGCAATATGGGTAGAGCTCAAAAATAAGATGAGTGCAGTCACTCTGATAGGATTATAGTGTAGGCCCCCGGCAACCATCGAGACATTGAGGAACAAGTATGTAGACAGATTATGGAAAGATGCAATAAAAACAGAGCTGTCATAGTGGGTGACTTTAACTTCCCCAATATTGACTGGGACTCCCTTAGAGCAAGAAGCTTAGATGGAATTTGTTAAGTGCATCCAAGAGGGTTTCTTGAAACAGTATGTGGATAGTCCAACTACATGAAGGGCCATGCTGGATCTTGTACTGGCTAATGAGCTCGGCCAGGTAACTGACCTTTCAGTGGGAGAATGTTTTGGAAACAGTGATCGCAACTCCTTAAGTTTTAAGATAGCTATGAATGAGAATAAGTCAGGACCTTGTGGCAAGGTACTAAATTGGGGGAGGGCAAGTTACAACAGTATTAGGCAGGAGCTAGGGGGTGTTAATTAGGAGGAGCTGTTATCAGTCAAGTCCACATTTGACATGTGGAAGTTGTTTAAAGACTTGCTGATGAGAGTTCAGGACCAGCATGTTCCAGTAAGGAGGAAGGATAAGAATGGCAAGGTAAGGGACCCTTGGATAATGAGGGAGGTTGTGAATTTAGTCAAAAGGAGAAAAGAAGCATATGTAAGGTTTAGGAAGATAATATCGGACAGGGCCCGTGAGGAATATAAAGAAAGCAAGAGAAAACTCAAGCAGGGAATTAGGAGAGCAAGGAGGAACCATGAAATGACCTTGGCAAGTCAGGTTAAAGAGAATCCCAAAGCATTCTATATATACATCAAAAACAAGGGGATAACTAAGGAGAAAGTAGGGCCACTCACAGATAAAGGAGGGAACTTGTGCTTGGAAGCAGAGGATGTGGATGAGATCCTAAATGAGTACTTTGCAACAGTATTTACCCAAGAGTGGGTATTCAAGGATAATGGGATTTGTGTGGAGCATGCAAATCTGCCATGGCATTTTGAGATAAAGAAAGAAGTGGTTTTGGGTCTCTTGAAGAGCATTAAAGTGGGTAAGTCCCCAGGGCCCAATGGTATCTACCCCAGGTTATTGAGCGAGGCAAGAGTAGAGATTGCTGGGGTTTCAACCAAGATGTTTGTATTCTCGTTAACCACTGGAAAGCTCCTGGGAGCCTGGCAAGGAGCTAATGTTGTTCCTGTGTTCAAAAAGGGAAAAAAGGACAATCCAGGAATCTATAGACCGGTGAGTCTCACATCAGTGGTTGGGATACTATTGGAGAGAATGCTTAAGGATAGATTTACATGCATTTGGAAGAGCACGGCCTAATTAGGGACAGTCGACATGGCTTTGTGCGAAGCAGGTTATGTCTTACCAGCTTGATTGAATTTTTCGAGGAGGTGACAAAAGTGATCAATGAGGGTAGAGTGGTGGATGTTGTCTACATCGATTTTAGTAAGGCTTTTGATAAAGTCCCTCATGGTAATCTCGTGCAAAAGATTAAGATGCATGGGATCCACAGTGACTTGGCCATGTGGATTCAGAATTGGTTTGCCCAGAGAAGGCAGAGGGTAGTGGTGGAAGGGTGTTTTTCAGGCTGGAGGTCAGCGACTAGTGGTTTTCCATAGGGATCCGTACTGGGACCTCTGCTGTTTGTGGTATATGTAAATGACTTGGATGAAAATGTAGATGGTCGGTTAGTATGTTTGCAGACGATACAAAGATCAGTGGAGTTGTGGATAATGTAGAAAGTTGTCAAAGGATACGGTGGGATATAGATCACTTTCAGAGATGGGCAGAGAAATGGCAGATGGAGTATAGTCCAGGTAAGTGTGAGCTGCTGCACTTTGGGGGATCCAATGTTAAAGAAAAGTGTACAGTTAATAGCAGGACCCTGAACAGTATTGACATACAGAAAGATTTTGGGGTTCAAGTCCATAGCTCCCTGAAAGTGGTCATGAAGTAGACTGGGTGGTAAAGAAAGTGTATGGCATGCTTGTCTTTATTGGTTAGGGCGTTGAGTACAAGAGTTAGGATGTCATGTTGCAGCTTATAAGACTTTGTTTAGGCCACACTTAGAGTATTGCATTCAGTTCGATCACTACATTACTGAAAGGATGTGGAGGTTTTGGACAGGGTGCAGAGGAGGTTTACCAGGATGCTCCCTAGATTTGAGAGTATGAGCTATAAGGAGAGGCTGGGAAAACTCGGGTTGTTTTCTCTGGAGAGGTGGTGGCTGAGGGAAAGCTTGATAAAAGTCTACAAAATTATAAGATGCGTAGAAAGGGTTGACAGTCAGAATCTTTTTCCCAGAGTTGAAATGTCTAAAACTAAGGGCCATGCGTTTAAGGTGAGGTGGTAAAGTTCAAAGGAGACATGAGGGGCAGGTTTTTTTACACAGAGAGTGGTAGGAATCTGGAACACGCTGCCAGGGGTGTTGGTGGAGGCAGATACAATGGGTGGGGTGGTGGTTAAGAGACTTTTAGATATGCACATAAATAAGCAAGGAATGGAGGGATATGGACCAAGGGCATGCAGAGAGGATTAGTTAAATTTGGCATCATGTTTGGCACAACATCGTGGGCCGAGGAGCCCATTCCTTTGCTGTATTTTTCTATGTTCTATGTTCTAAAATCACCTGGACGAATACATGAATAGGAAGGGAATAGAGGGATATGGATCCTGTAAGTGAAGACTGTTTTAGTATGGAAGGGCAAAATGTGTCGGTGCAGGCTTGGAGGGCTGAAGGGCCTGTTCCTGTGCTGTATCATTCTTTGTTCTGACTGTAGCTAGGAAAAGTTAGCACATACGCTGATGACCAGTGGGGTGGGATAGGTGGGAGAATTTGGTGTGGGTGTGGAGGATTGACTGTATGGGTGGAGATGGACCCTCGCGAGAGAGAACGAGAGCTTGGCAGACAAAGAGATGATTGATAGTAAGCCAGGGAAGGAGAAGAGCCGATAATTGGGACTATGAGAGCTGATAATTGGGACCATGAGAGCTGATAATTGGGACCATGAGAGCCGATAATTGGGACCATGAGAGCTGATAATTGGGATCACGAGTAGGTGAAAATGGATCGGATGTGCTTACCTGGCTTACTGTCAACCATCCCTTTGTCTGCCTATCTTTCTTTCTCTCTCCCTGATTCTGTCGCCACCTATCCATTCACTACCCCTTCCAAACCCCAACCGCCACCTCCTGCATGTATACCACCCGTTCCTAGCTACTATTAGTTCTGAAGAAGGGTTGCTGCTTTAAAACATTAACTCTGCTTTCTCTCCATGGATGCTGTGAAACCCAGCAATTTCTGTTTTTGTTTCAGGTCTTCAGCATCCGCAGTTCTTTGTTTTATTTTAATACTGGTCAAGGTTTCATAGAATCAAGTATTGTAATATTAGATGAAATAACCTCTTGAGTAATGATATATTGGAGTAATTTACTCTAAAGTTACTCTAGAGCTTCTACGCGAAGCGTGGTCTGCTTCCAGGACATTGATGTAGGTCTGCATAGCACCATTATGATGTGAAAAATTTCTCCATTGTTAAGATAATATAGAGAAGGAAGTTGTTAAAAAAAATACCTTTTATAGTCCGGTTGTTGGCTGTATTTTGTCTTGGGTTCTAACCAGCATATGCAGTGTTGTTACGGCAGCAAAATTGAAAGCAATCCTTGCTGTGTGGCTGAAATCACCAGTATCCATTTATGAAGCTAAACACTCATGACTCAATAATGATAGAAAGTAAGAACGTGCATTTATATAGCATCACACTTCCAGAATCCAGAATTGCAAGCAATTCATAATCGATGAATTACTTTTGTGAAGAATAATAGTGTAGTAATGTGTAATTCAGAACTAGGATTTTTTCCCGGATTTAAAACTGATTCACTGCACAGAGGATTATCAAATGGGAAACACGTGTATCTGGACAGTGGTGAGAGAAAACACAACTCACAGACTGAAAACTATTAGATTATCCTCCACATTTTCAATCCATCAATCAATCAAGTAAAAAATGCATAGGTTTTCTGTTTTGAATGAGGTATCCCCACATGGCTAATGTAGAGTCAATGTAAATAGCTAAGGACTTAGAATGGCTCGTGTACTAATGTGTGAGACAAAATTACAATTTTTAATATCCTATGACAACAACCTGAAGCTGCTTAATACATTCATGCAAACATGCAAAATTGTTAATGCAAAATCATTAAATATTAATCAGTCATTAACTGATACCAAATAAGCCAAGTATTATAGCTTCTTTTTCCAATGCAATAAACAATAGGCTAAAAAAAAGATGTTTTGTAATGTTAATATCTTTGAGAAAAGGTTTGTCAATTGGGCCAATGTTAGTTCATTGAATATTCAAATTAAAATGCAAAGTGTGCAGTATTTTAATTAAATATAATCAATGTTATAGAAAATTGATTAAATATACATGCATTAAATATGAAGTAATATAAGTATTAACATTTCAATACTAATTTGCCAGAGATTTTTTAAATTAAAATAAAATAAGTTGTTTAATGGACATTTTTGAGTTATTTATGATCAATCCTGTATTTGAAAGACTATGACAACAACTCTTCAAAGCTTTGATCATTGACAATTTGTTTGATAAGTTTAATGTTTTATGATGATATATGTCATCTGTAATTCATAATGTTATCTCACCTCTTGATCTCACTTAAAATGCTTTCTCTCCCTTAGATACCTGTATCTTCTCTAATGACTTTTGTTGAAGCCCTTGAGGTGGGTTATAGCAAGTACAAGAATCCTTACCATAACTTAATCCATGCGGCAGATGTGGCCCAAACAGTGCATTACCTAATGCTCCACACTGGCATTATGGTAAGAATAGAGTTGTTCTGTTTTAAAAGTGGCATGCTTATAGGTCTGTTTTTGGCATCTTCAGGCTTTCAGGGCCAGTTTTAACCAAAATGTTGCTGGAAGGTTGCTAAAACATTCAACGTAAAATCTTTCAAGTTACAACCTATTATTGGCATAGTATTGAAACACAAGCATTCCGGAAGTATGGCATCAGAAGAAAAATACCATAGATCTTTCCATAGATCATTTATAATTAGCATACTCATCAAAGTAATATTTATGGTTCAAAAACAGAAGTTGTTGGAAAAACTCAGAAGTTCTGAGGAAGGGTCACCGAAATACTAACTCTGGTTTACCTTCACAGATACTGCCAGACCTGCTGAGCTTTTCCAGCTACTTCTATATGTGTTTCTGATTTACAGCATCAACAGTTCTTTCGGGTTTTATTTAATATTTATGGTTGTTAGTTTCTAACCAGAAAATGTTTTGGAATGATTATGTGGCTCCTGTCCAATAGGAAACAATCTTTAGTTGTGTGGGAGACAAATTACTTAATAACTGACTATAAGAAACAACTCCCAGAGAGGCAGATAATATAAAAATAAATGAAATATTAAACAATCTTTACAGGATTAACCTTTAATCCATTTTAACATCTGAATAGTCTTGTGTAAACTGCACTTTCACAAGAAGTTCCTGTTTTAAACAATCTGGGTACTTAAGTATGCAATGTTATTGTGCAAACAGCCTGCAGTTCTCTTCACAGATGTCCTTTCTTAAATATTAAACAATCTTAACATTTACAAATAAAATAAATGAATATTCCTCTGAAATGGTCCAGACTGCTCTTAAGAAGTCATATTGGACTTAAAGCATTAACTCTGTTTCTGTCTCCACAGATGCTGCCAGACCTGCTGAGTTTCTCCAGTGTTATCTTTGTATCAGATTTCCAGCATCCGCAGTATTTTTTTTAGTTTCAGTTGTATAGAACTCAGGTTGGGTTTAATGAGCAGCTTATGCAGTGACTCCCTGGTCAAATAATGATTTCCCCCTCTTGTGCAAGGAATGTCTTCCAAGCCTCTGTGTCTGATTTTCCAGAGATATTTGTGTCACATCTTCTTGTATCAGCTGAATACATCAAAATATTGTTTTTGACTGTTCCTCAGATTTAACCTTTCTGTTACAGCACTGGTTTACAGAACTGGAAATTCTAGCCATGCTTTTTGCAGCTGCCATTCATGACTATGAGCATACGGGAACCACAAATAACTTTCACATTCAAACCAGGTAGGAAACAATATTGCATAGTATCAGGAATAAAACTTCCAGATGAATTTCTTCAAGCTGCATCATCATACACCAATGAAATACTCTTCAAAGTGGAAACGTTAATGAAAAATAAGTTTTAACCTTCTAAACTGTTTAATTTAATCTCAGCAGATCAGGGTGTTGAAACTTTGTTAATTAGGCAGCATTGCATTGATCACTTTATCGACCTATTTAAAATTCGGCTCTTTGAAGGCAATGGAATAACATATTGTGTGGGGAGTATAATAGAAGGCTAAATTGACACTGCTTTATCACCTGAAACTAATTTTTACTGCACCATTTGCAATAATTGCAGCTCAGAACACATCTGGAGATATTATATATTTAAGCCTTTTGCAATTAAAAACTGGAACATCATTTCTCATTATTTGTACAATTTATGACGACCTCTTGTTTCATTTTGACCGATGTAAAAAGAACAAGAGTGCTACATAATTCTGTAGATCTGCAAAACATTTAAAATTCATCACATTATCAATGGTCTAACACATAAAGGAATTGCTTTCATAAAACAGGAGTGAAATGAGATTTTTGCAAGGCTGTTTTTGGAAGTTTGCAAACGTGACATTGGCTGCACTTTAAAGCCTAATTCCACTGTATTACTTGACAAAGCCAGTGACAGGAGCACAGAAAAATAGTCCACTGCCCTCATTTGCTTATAACCAGAGAGTTGCTGATACAAATCACACCAAAGACAGATAGCATTTCTAACAGCTCAATTTATCATCACGAGCTACGAATTTTTGCAAAACAGTTGTCAGAGAGGTGTTTGACTTCCTATTTATTCATGCAAAAAGACATATGCAGGTTTCACATCTTTGCCAACATGGCAGGAGTGCACATCCACTGTGGAATCAATGTAGGTTAACCCTGTAGAGCCAATTGTAGCTATATTAATCAACCCATGCAGACATCTCGTGGCATAGCTCTGGAGCAGGTTTGGCTTGAACTCAGGCCTCCTGGCTCAGATGTAGGGACACTACTACCATCTCACAGTTGTACAGATGGAAAAGACGTGGTTCCAATCTTCCAGATTACTAGTCCAACAAAGTAAGACCCAGCTTTGTGAGAATTTGCTCACTTGTCGAACAGATATACAAGTGATGTAACTTTATTCAACCTTAAGTCCCAAAGTTGATATCAAGCAATCATATCTGATATATGTTGCATCTCTTTCTTTCAGAAGTCCACAGACAATAAGTTACCTTTGTGATGCACCACAGTTAAATTGTCCATGCCCAACAACACCCATTCTTACTGTCTCTCTCAACAAGGTTTTGGTTGCCTTAAGTTCAGTCACTCTGATTGTGTGCAAATTTACAAAATCAACATGGTCTTAGATAAGGGAAATCATGTTTGCCAAATGTATTCATGTTTTATGAGGATGTAATCAGTAAAGTAAACAGTTCTACAAATGTCATTGTTGCTTTAGGGTCCATTGGTTATGTACAGAATGTATATTTGGAGAATGAGCTTGAAGGTGCCATGAGTTGGCATGGAGGGTGTGAGGAGCCATTAGCAATGGACAGGCCATGAATTGCCATGGAGTGTTGTAGAGAGGCCATGAGTTGGCATGGAGGGTTGTAGAGGTTGTTGGCGGGTTGTGTGGGTAGTATCAGTTGGCATGGAAGCAGCTGGTGCGACAGTGTGTGAGTCCATAGAATCCATAAAATCCCCCATTCAGCCCAATGAGTTCATACCGACCCTCTGAAGAGCATCCCACTCAGTCCCAGGGTAGCGTTGAGGAGGAGTTCATTGAGTGTATCTGTGATAGTTTTCTTGAACAGTATGTAATGGAACCAACGCGGGAGCAAGCTATCCTAGACCTGGTCCTGTGTAATGAGACAGGAATAATTAATGACCTCATAGTTAGGGATCCTCTTGGAAGGAGTGATCACAGTATGGTTGAATTTAGAATACAGATGGAGAGTGTGAAGATAAAATTCAATACAAAGGTCCTGTGCTTGAACAAGGGGAACTACAATAGAATGAGGGAGGACTTGGCTAAAGTAAACTGGATACAAAGATTTTATGGTGGGACAGTTGACGAGCAGTGGAGGACTTTCAAAGCAATCTTTCAAAGTGCTCAGCAAAAGTGTATTCCAATGAAAAGGAAGGACTGTAAGAAAAGGGGTAATCTGCCATGGGTGTCTAAAGAAATAAGGGAGGCTATCAAATTGAAAGAGAAGGCATACAAAGTGGCCAAAAACAGCATGAAACTAGAAGATTGGGAAAACTTTAAAGGTCAACAGAAAGCCACAAAAAGAGCTATAAGGAAAAGTAAAATAGAACATGAGAAAAAACTAGCACAGAATATAAAAACAGATAGCAAGAGTTTCTATAAATATATAAAACGAAAAAGAGTGGCTAAAGTAAACGTTGGCCCTTTAGAGCATGAGAAGGGGAATTTAGTTATGGGATATGATGAAATGGCCGAGGCATTGAACAGGTATTTTGTATCGGTCTTCACAGTGGAGGACACTAATAACATGCCAGTAATAGACAAAGAGACGAAGGTAGGTGAGGACCTGGAAACAATCATTATTACGGAAGAGGTAGTGTTGGGCAAGCTAATGGAGCTAAGGATTGATAAGTCTCCTGGCCCTGATGGAATGCATCCCAGGGTACTAAAAGAGATGGCGGGAGAAATAGCAGGTGCACTGGCGGTAATTTTCCAAAATTCGCTGGACTCGGGCGCAGTCCCAGCAGATTGGAAAACAGCAAATGTGATGCCACTGTTTAAAAAGGGAAGTAGACAAAAGATGGGGAATTATAGACCGGTTAGCTTAACCTCTGTAGTGGGGAAGATGCTTGAGTCTATTATCAAGGAAGCAATAGCAAGGCATCTTGATAGAACTTGTCCCGTTGGGCAGACGCAGCATGGGTTCATGAAGGGCAGGTCATGCTTGACAAATCTTTTGGAATTCAATGAAGACATTACCGGCAAGGTGGACAATGGGGACCCAGTGGATGTGGTGTACCTAGACTTCCAAAGGCCTTTGACAAGGTGCCGCACAAGAGGCTACTGCATAAGATAAGGATGCATGGCATTAAGGGTAAAGTATTAGCATGGACAGAGGATTGGTTGACCAACAGGAAGCAAAGAGTGGGGATAAATGAGTGCTATTCTAGCTGGCAGTCAGTGACTAGTGGAGTGCCTCAGGGATCGATGTTGGGACCGCAATTATTTACAATTTATATAGATGACTTGGAACTGGGGACCACGTGTAGGGTGTCAAAGTTTGCAGATGACACTAAGATGAGTGGCAAAGCAAAGTGTGCAGAGGACTGTGAAACTTTGCAGAGGAACATAGATACATTGAGTGAGTGGGCAAAGGTCTGGCAGATGGAATACAATGTAAATAAATGTGAAGCCGTACATTTTGGTAGGAGTAATAGTAAAAAGGATTATTACTTGAATGGTAAAAAGTTGCAGCAGGCTGCTATGCAGAGGGACCTGGGTGTCTTTGTGCATGAATCACAGAAGGTAGGTCTGCAGGTACAACAAGTAATTAGGAAGGCAAATGGAATTTTGTCCTTTATTGCTAAAGGGATTGAAATAAAAAGCAGAGAGGTTATGTTGCAGCTGTACAAGGTGCTGGTGAGGCCACACCTGGAGTACTGTGTGCAGTTTTGGTCTCCTTACTTGAGAAAGGATGTACTGGCACTGGAGGGGGTGCAAAGGAGGTTCACTAGGTTGATTCCGGAGTTGAGGGGGTTGGCTTATGAGGAGAGACTGAGTAGATTGGGATTATATTCATTGGAATTCAGAAGATTGAGGGGGGATCTTACAGAAACGTATAAAATTATGAAGGGAATAGATAAGATAGAAGTAGAGAGGATGTTTCCACTAGCAGGTGAAGCGAGGACAAGAGGGCATAGCCTCAAGATTAGAGGGAGCAGATTTAGGACTGAACTGAGAAGGAATTTCTTCACCCAGAGGGTTGTTAATCTATGGAATTCCTTGCCCAGTGAAGTAGTTGACGCTACTTCAGTGAACGCTTTTAAAAAAAAGGTAGTTTTTTTTTTTAACAATAAAGGAACTAAGGGATACGGTGAGAATGCGGGTAAGTGGATCTGAGTCCACGAAACGATCAGCCATGATCTTATTGAATGGTGGAGCAGGCTCGAAGGGCCAGACGGCCTACTCCTGCTCCTAGTTCTTGTGTTCTTGTGTTCTTACCCTATCCTTGCATTTGCCATGGCTAACATACCTAACCTACACTTGAACCTGAACCCTGTGGGTACTTTAGCAGGGTCACTCCACCACATCTTTAGACTGTGGGAGGAAACCAAAGCCACCGGCAGAAACCCACGCAGACACAGGGAGAACGTGCAAACTCCACACAGACAGTTGCCTGAGGGGCGAATCAAACCCCAGCCCCTGGCAATGTGAGGCAACAATGCCAACCACTGAGCCACCGTGCTCCCCACAGGTCACCATTTAGGGAAGGTCCTCGGGGGAGGGTGGGGCACAGCGGCTGTCTGCCATGTTGTGCAGGTTACTGCAATGTAGGGCCATCATTTACTCAAGACAGACAGGCGGCTCCAATTTGTGGAGGTTAATGTGATTTGGGGGTGTGGACCTAGGGAAGACAGGAAAGACAATGTTCGCCATTGAAGGGGATCTTTTAGCTGGGATGTTTTTTGCGCGCTTTGGAGTTGTATCGCTCTTTTCCAGATCCAATGTGTTGATGTGAAGAAAGAGCGATGGGAAGGCTCTTTAAATGTCAAAGATCACTGACTTTGTAGAGTCTGTGTATAATTTTTCTGAGTCAAGAGTAGTCTTTTGCATCTGGGGAGGGATGGAAAACAGTCTTTATGCTTTGAAATAGTGGGCAGGAGCGGAGCGTTATGTGTGTGTGATGATGACCTGTGAATTTCCCTTGTAAATGTTGATCTGAGATACATGAGTCAGCATATTACCAAGCGGAAAATTACATGAACATCTGAAATGTTAAGTTGAGAATTTGCTAACCATGTCTTGATGAAACACTGAAGATATGAAGGTCTTAAGTTGTTGCGGTTTGTTGAAAGGCTGAAGATGTGGTGCATGTGTCTGCATGACTGTATGTTCCAGATTTGGGCAAAAAAGTGTTCTGTTTTTATATCTGCCAACCTAAGTGTTATATTTAGATGCAGAGTAAAACAAAAATCTGGTATGGATCACTTTTTAGATTACAGACTTTATTACGCAGGAGGATCAGTGTCCACTTTAAAGAAAGAGTTGAATGTGAAGCTGTGAAGGACTGACCTGAGTAGTGGATTTGCATGGAAGGTGACCAAGATGAACAGATGAAACACCATGCAGGTTAAGTTTGAAGATCTTCAGGGGGAAAGGGTTTGGGTAGGAAGAAATCACTAAAACAACGTAGAATGAGCTAGCCAGTACAGATGAGGAGTTCCTGGAGGAGCACTTTGGCGGAAGTTGAGAGCAGAGGGGGCTGATGGGATGGTCGTGTAATTGAAGGATGCTTTTCAGGGCTGAAGTCTTCTGGAACAAGTCAGATAAGAACAGAGGAAGATGGACTGAGCCTGGTTTGTATGTGAGAGTCCAGAAATTTGATGCTAAAATTAAGTTTGAAATATTGTTCACTTGAGCTGTTTCTAGTAATTTTGTCTGCAAGTTATTACTTGGGTGGGTGGACAACATTGTCTAGTTTTAACTTTCAGACATCTTCATTCAAAAAACAAATCCAGCCTTCTGCAGCAAGTTGACATGGCTATCTTACTTTAGCGAAAGCTAATGTGCTGTTCCAAACTGGAAAGTTGTTACTTTGCTCTTCGTATTTTCTCTATCTTGCCAATAGGTTGAGGTTCAGTATTATTTGAAAGTCTGAGTAATGAGGGCTAGACGGCCTAAACTGTAAGCAGACAACTGGAAAAATTTCCCAAAGAATGCAAGCAGAGCTTTTATGCAGGCTGCATTAGCACTGGGCAGCCCTTTTTACCTCCTCTGATTTGTTTCCAGGGGTGGTAGGCTAATTCCATCCTGCACCCAGCCCACTGAAGCAAAAATTGGGTCTGACGTGGCACTTCTGACTGAAGCTGCTCTGCCAAGTCGTGAAATTTCCTCATTCCAACTGCCTTAAAGACAAAAATATGCCTAAAACAGTCTGTCTGCCAACAACTTTATTGAACAATATAATTTAGCATTTTGATTTGAGAAATTGAACAATGCCATATTAGACTATAGTCACTTAGCACATTAATTTGAAATCTGTCTATTTCAGAGGAGCTGCTAACTCATTTACATTACTTTTAGTGGGTTATTGCTTGAACTAAAATGAAGATATTGTCCAATGGTTGAGTTCAGTCCATTTTCAGCAGTTCTGATGAAGGATCCCGACCCGAAACATTAACTTTTCTGTTCGTCTGATGCTGCCTGACCTGCTGTGTTCCTCCAGCTCCACACTGCGTTGACTTAATGCTGTAATTTCACTGTTGTTTTTCATCATTATTTTGTGGCCACTAAATCTCAGAATAAAATATTTAATGTAGATTATTGCATGTTTATTTATTAACAGATCAGGTGTGGCTATTTTATACAATGACCGTTCTGTTCTTGAAAACTATCATGTGAGTGCTGCCTACCGACTAATGCAAGATGAAGAAATGAATATTATGTGCAATTTATCTAAAGATGACTGGCGGTAAGATAAGATGACTCTTTCAGAATAACAGTAAAAAAAATTATTTTCTGATATTTCATTTGTATGAATCACTTTAAGATACCTAACAAGATATATCAAAATGCCAGTGTCTCTCCTCTCTTTGGTGTTAAGGTGTGATTATAGATTTGTTATAGAATTAATTCAGTTGTTTTTATTTGATGTTGCCACAAATATTTTTCACAAGTTTCACAGACAGCCTTTAAACCATGCTTACAGTTGAAAGAAAGCAGGAGGTTAATATTTTGGACGTCTGTAGTAAGGACTTTGTTTTAATAAAGACAGGGACTGAGAGTTCCATTAACACGGAGCCATTTCATAGCATGGAACTTGAATATCACTGAAGAGAAATACGCTGTCAAAGCTGACCAGAAGAACATAGACAATAAGAAATAGAAGCAGGTACGGTCTATTCAGCCCATTGAGTCTGGTCTGCCATTTAATGCCTCTTCTTCCTCAGGAGGCTAAGGAAATTCAGCATGTCCATAAGGACCCTAACCAACTTTTACAGATGTACTGTAAAAGACATTCTATCTGGATGCATCACGGCTTGGTATGGCAACTGCTCTGTCCAGGACCGTAAGGAACTACAGAAAGTTGTCAACACAGTCTAGACAATCACACAAGCCAACCTCCCATCCACTGACTCCATCTACACCTCTCATTACCATGGAAAGGCAGCCAATATCATCAAAGACCCCCTCAACCCCAACCCCAGTTATAATCTCTGCCAACTTCTTCTGTCAGGCAGGAGATACAAATGCTTATACACACGGACCAACAGGTTCAAGAACATCTTCCCTGCTGTTATTAGACTGCTGAATGAACCTCTTAAATTTCAAATCTAATGTTGATCTTGCTTTTGTACACTTCCAGTGTAGTGTAACCTGTATGCCTCGCTCTGTTCAATCACTGTATGATCTGTACGTCCTTGTATGTTATGATCTGCCTGTACTCCTCACAAAACAAAGCTTTTCACTGTACTTAGGTACATTGATAGCAATGAATCGAATCAAATCAAATCAATGATATAAAAACCAAAAGAACTGCGGATGCTGTAAATCAGGAACAAAAACAAAGTTGCCGGAAGGGTCACCGGACCTGAAACGTTAACTCTGTTTTCTCCTCCACAGATGCTGCCAGACCTGCTGAGCTTTTCCAGCAATTTTGTTTTTGTTCCAAATCATTGATATCATGACTGATCTGATAATCCTCAACTCTACTTTCCTGCCACTTCCCCATAATGTTTGATCCCCTTGCTAATTAAAAATCTGTCCATCTCAGCCTTGATTGTACTTAATGACCCAGAGTCCTGCAGTAAAGAATAAATCAAATTCACTAACCTTTGAGAGAAGAAATACCTCCTGATCTCTGATTTAAAAAAGTACCCACTTGTTCTGAGAATACTGTCCCACAGGGGAAGCAGTCTTTCCATAGCTACCCTATAAAGTGCCCTGAAAATCTTGCGTATTTCAATAAGATTTCCACTCATTCTTCTAAACTGTAATGAGTACAGGCCCAGCCTACTCAACCTCTGCTCATAAGACGATCCCTCCATACACACGATCAGCTTACTGAACATTCTGTAGACTGCCTCCAATGCCAGTACATGTTTCCTTAGATAAGAAGCACAAAACTGTTCATTGTGTACCAGCAGTGATCTGACTAGCAGCTTGTATAGTTTTAGCAGAACCTCCCTAGTTTTATACTCCATTCGTTTTGAAATAAATGTAAACATTCCCATTTGCCTTCTCTATTACCTGCTGAATTTGTATGCTAGCTTTTTGCGATTTTTGTGCAAGGCACTCCCTAATCTCTCTATACTGGAGATCTCTTCAGTCCTTCCCCATTTATTCTGTCTGCCAAGGTGCATAGCTGCATGTCTTCTCACATTATATTCCATCTACCAATAGTTTGTCCACGTACTCAATCTATCTATGTCCTTTTGCAGACTCTGTATCATCCTCAAAACTTGCCTTCCCATCTATTTTGGTGTCATCTGCAAAAGTGGCTGTAGTACATTCAGTTTCCTTGTCTGTGTCATTAATATATATTGTAAATAATTATGGCCCCAGCACTGAGCCCTGTGGCACTCCACTGATTACAGTTTGCCATTTTGAAAATGCCCCCCTTATCCCACTTCTCTGACCTCTATTAGTTAGACAGTTGTCTATCCAAGCTAATATAGTGCCTCCAACACCATGGCCTCTCATCAAGTAGTCAAATATATCCTAATGTTGATGATTGGTTTGATCAGCCAGTCACTATGCTGCAGGGCAATAGCTGTCCTGATCAGATCATTGTTCAGACTCGCAGACTCACAACTGTGCCAAAGATCCATTCAATAAGTGTTCTGTGTACTTCAGTTTAACCTGCAATGGCAAAGTATCACACAAATTTGAAGAACAGAACAGCAATCTGTTTGACATTGTTACTATGCAATGTCTACGCAAGTGACTTCTTTTTAAGAGGATTCTGTCATTGGGTCCAAAAAGTCTTCCACTTAACACAAATTAAGCAATTAAGCAATTTTGAATATAAATTTCAGTGCCAGTTGATGCCAAGCATTTACATATACATTCCAGCAACTAGCTGTTTAAAACAAACAGTATGCTCCTTTGGTTGTTCGTAATGGGCATAATAAAGACCACACTTAAAAGCCTGCACTTGCAAAACCCAAAATAAAACATCTGCTAAATAAAAACCTAAAGGACTGCGGATGCAGTCCTTTGGTTGTTCGTAATGGGCATCAC